TTAAGGTAATGAGTAAAGTGAGCCCGAAGGAGTTAACTGAACTGTTAACGCCATATACGATTCAGGTAATATCCCAGAGGAATGGCTACTGTTAACATTTGTAACACTACCAAAAAACGATCTGCGAAAACGTGCAAAGATTTCCGAACTATCAGCCTTATAAGTCATGCACTTAAGATTTTTCTTAAAATCATACATGCCAGAATTTACAAGAAATGCGAAGAAAATGTCGATGAGATTCAATTTGGATTCCGCAACTCCGTGGGTACACGTAAAGCACTTTTCACCTTACAAGTTCTACTTCAGAGATGCCGCGAACAGATTTTAAACAGTAAAAATTAGCTGGTGGTACGTGGACTAAAGAAAACCCAGACAAAACCAGAATCACCAAACTATTCAAGTAGGGTAAAAAGTGATCTCAAAAAATACTATAACCCCTCCGAAACTAAAGATCCCTAAAAAACCTAGGAATACTAACGTGCAGATAAGGTCATATAGCAATAACACAAAAGCAGTTAAGATTGTGATAGTATACAGACACCATCCTGATACTCATCTAATTCCTCAAGCACACCTGATTGTCAGCTAATTATAATAAGTAATGGACGAGGTTCATATCGCAAGTCAGAATTAAGTTCTTCAGTTCTACAGTTCTATAACGTTTAGCGCAGGGATACTGTCGGTGAACTTTACTAACAAGTATGCCAAGAAATAGACTGTTAAAGTGGTGAGTGGTGACAAAAAAAACCTGTAGGAGACGCTCACCAGAGTCACTGACAAAGAGACTAAGAAAGCTATCAGAACCCGCTTAAGAAAAAAATATCAAGACATTAGGAGACAAGACTGGATATTAAACAATTGGAAATCGGGGAGGATGGACAAATCCTAGTCTTTTCTATCGATGAGGTCTCTTACATAGCATTTAGGACTGCTCATTTCAAGGTGTATTGAATATTTGCAAAGTTCTGCAGGTGAATCTCCAGCATAATAAGGCAGCTTCGACAGAACTTACTGTTGCTATGAGAAGGTTCTATGTAGCAGTGATACAAGAGTCCTAGGTTTACCAAGGCCAAACAAGAAGTATGTTATTGGAGGGGCATTATTGGAGAGCTTATGTCAAGCCGATCTTTCAAAGTTCCGAGAACTTTTATAATAGTCACGATATATTAAAATACTGCCGTTAATGGATTTCTTTTTTAAGAATTTGACGACGGTAAAGATGAGTAAGGATGGTAAAGCATCAGGCCCTTATAACATACAAGCAGAACTACTCAAACTAATAAACAATATAACAAATCAATAACAATCACAAAAATACTCAACAACATATACAAAGAAATTATCTGGTTCGATAATAAAACTCGTTGATCCTAATGACATATGTGAAAACAGACCGAAATCAATACCGTTTTGTACGTTCATAGACCAATGTGTGTCTCTTCGATATAATTTGTCACATAAAATAAAATACGGCATTTCGTAAGTTATAATATCATGAATGTTAAGTTTGTATCTAATTGTTTAGTTAGTTGTGTAGTATGTTCCTGAGGAAGTTGAAAAAGTAAAAGAATCAACGAAATAAATAAAGTGAAACAATCACTTCTTAGCCTTTTAAAGTATACGAAACTGGGAAACTACCAACAGGTTGGCTTAACTCTCCATTTGTAATGCTTCCAAAGAAGCAAACGCAAAAAAGTGCTCCGACTATAGAACAATTAGTTTTATGAGTCACGTTTTAAAAATCTTTCTTCGGATAATTCACTCCAGAATGTATGCTATGACGACTTTGAGAAAGCCTTTGATAAAGTTAGACATGGAATACTGATGGAAATTCTTAAACGAGTAGGAATAGATGACAAAGATTTAACAATTATACAACATCTCTACTATCACCAGCAAGTAAATGAATTGGTCTAGATACTTCTGAATCACTTGAAATTATTCGTGTAGTTAGACAGGAGTGCATCTTGTCACCACTGCTTTTTAATATGTACTCCAAGCATATTCTCAAAGAGACACTTGCCAAATTTGATGTTGGTATGACCGTTAACGGAATTTAATCTGAGATATGCGAATGATACTGTGTTGCATGCAAGTTCTGCGGAAGAACTACAGTTATTAATTGACAGTGTTACTGGTGAATGCGAAGAATACGGCTTAAAAATTAATACTTCTTCTTCGTCTTCTTCTTTTTATGCAGATATGACTCTGATCGTCTTCCTTTTGGAAAACTGTCTCTTGTCGTCTTTACTACTCATTCGGATTCGTTGTCATTCGGAATGCATCTATGTCGTATATTTGCACTTCTAGCTCTGTCCCATATTGTTTTACCATCAATTTTTCCAAGTGTTTTCATCTCTGCTGTTTCTAATATCCTTTTTGTCCTCTCTGTGTCAGTTCGTGTTCCTGCCACGTATGTCATTATTGGTCTGATGACTGTTTCCTTTCCCGATATTTTTATTGCTCCATATTGTTTCATTCAGGCTACTTACAACTCTATTTGCTTTATTCACTTGATCTTCCACTTCTGTTTCGAGCTTTCGGTAGCTAGATAATGTAATGCCTAGATATTTAAACTCCATCGCTTGTTCTATTATCTGACCTTCCAGCTCTAATTTACATCTTAATAAATTATCTGTTATAACCATGTATTTTGTCTTTTTTGGTGAAATTAACATGTTAAATTTTCTGGCGATTATATTGAATTGGTGCAGCATACGTTGTAAATCATCTTCACTTTGAGAGAGTAGTATTGCATCGTCTGCATAGCAGATTATTTTAAGTTGTTTTTCTCCAATTTGGTATCCTTTTTTAGTTCTTACTTTTTTTATTATTTGATCCATAATCAGGTTGAACAATAGAGGACTCAGGAAATCTCCCTGTCTTATCCGATTGCCAGCATAAATAGGGTCAGTTAGTTCTTCTTCTACTTTTACTTTTATTGTGTTGTTGTGGTAGATATTTTCGATCGTTTTGATTATTAATAAAGGTACCTATTTCTCTTGGGTACAATAAGTGGATAACGTCCTTTAATTTGACCGGGTCAAATTCTTAAGATCTACGAAACATAGATATGTCTGTTTGTTGTTATTCTAATGATTTCTCTTGTACTTGACAAACTATAAATATATCGTCGGTGCATGATCTTCCCGACTTAAAACCTTGTTGTTCTTCTGTTAGTGTTATAATTTCATTCAGTTTATTTGTTATCACTTTGGTTGTTAATTTTAGTGTTGTGTTTAATAAACTAATTCCTCTGTAATTTTCAGGGTCCGATTTGTCTCCCTTTTTGAAGAGGAGGAATTAGGATGCCTGATCTCCATTCTTGTGGAATTCGGTTTTGTTTTATTTTTTGGATTAGTTTTAGTAGGTCAGATCTAGTCATCCGTACTTTAGGAGTTCGTTCGGTATTCTATCCTCTCCTGGTGATTTTCTATTTTTTAATTTCCTTAATGCTTCCTTTACCTCTTCCTCCTCAATATTTATTTCTTCGTTTGTGTTGGTGATTCATCATCGCCACCTTTAACAAACAGGGATCGAAAGTAGTGCACCAATGTGTCCTTCTGAACCTGTTTCGTTTTCCTTAGTTCGTTTATTTCTTTTCTTTGTCCTCTGATCATTCTCCATACTTATTTTTGTGTTCCGTAGAAATCGTGTTCCATCTGTTTTGAGTAACTCGGCCAGGTACATTACAGAGAAAGGGAAGTGAGAACAGTATTTAAATACAACTTTCCTGAACGTTGGATTGTTCGTAGTAGTCATATTTTTTGGTCATGTGCTGAGATATTAATATAATCATTTAATTTATAAAAATTACAAAAAATTACTTATCATTATACTTATAACACTTATAATAAATACTGCAGCAGTTTCTTTAGAACCAAGGATGCTATTTAATATGAGACGATCTTTTATGGAATGTATTGACAAATGAATTAAAGAAAATGGTGAACATATGGAACACTTACTCTGACAAAAACTTTAATGTTAATTAGTTTAACTATTTCTTAATTTGGTTTGTAAATGAAATGTTTTGATTATGACTTTAATTTAATACAAAACGTAAAATGTTTGATGTAAAATCCAATTATTCTGTTATTTTGTCAAATGTTATTATTAATTATTCTGCTGATATATTTATTTTATTTATAATATTTAATTCGTTAACTATTACCTTTATTAAAGGTATTTTATACAAAAATTCAGAAGTATTGATGTTTTTCTTTAATTTTCTTTCGTTGCCTGGAGTAATTGCGTTAAATCAGAATTACTTACGTAGTTGATTTGCAAAATGCGATTATTTCGAAAACTGTTGAGTTTTGAAGATATTAACAAGTATACTTTTTTTGGAAAACTAATGTCTCTTTAATATTTTTTATCAACCTCAAATTTTATATCAACATTTTATTAAAGCAATTTGGGTTAAATCGTAATATTTTAAAGTGTATAATCTACAGTTTCTTTTTGTACAATTACTTAAGGACCACCCGTATATATATATATATATATATATATATAAATATATATATATATATATATAATATAATGTATAATAACATATAATATATATGTATATATATATATATATATATATATATATATATATATATATATATAAATATATATATATATATATATATATATATATATATATATATATATATATATATATATATATATACAGTAGTGACAGCGCAGTGATCAGTGAACAGTGTAGTAGTGTCTAGGGGCTTGGGAGACTGAGACCTCGGAAGTCCTGAGGAAGGCATCAGAGAGGATGCCAAAAGTTCGGCAAAATGGATATCGACGCGGTTCAATCCGGAAGACTGGTGAGTTTGATATTAATTTTAGTAATAATATTAATCTTAGCTCTAAGTTTCATTGTACTAACCGCGGAAATCTTTCCGAACATATGATACTACAGTAAGAGTCTAAATATTCTGAATTTAATAATATGCCATAAAAATATATTTTAAATATTTATTAATGGTTTACTGTACCTCCTTCTACTACTTCTCCAACAAACACCTTAGCTATACCGGCCATTGCTATAACCACATTTTGAGAAACTGAACAACCGGTTATAGTTTGCATAAGTCTTTTAATTGCTGCTTTTGGAAATGCTGATCTCCTGTACATTTCATATCTGTCTAACTGATCTTCAGTGAAATTTGATACTAAAACCCTAAAAACAAGCAATATGTCAATAGTAGAACATTTGTTTAAAAGGTCAAATTGTACTTGAATAATGCTTTACTCTTGAGCAAAATTTATGTTTTTTGACACCTCATAATATATAAGATTGATAAATATCTGATGGTTTTGCATTTTAGGTTTTAGACCATGCAAAACTTTTTATTTTAAAATTTTTTTCGTAAAATTAATAATAAAAAAGTTTCCCATATGTTGCCAACATACGTAGATACGCTGTGTATATAGTTGAGTCCATGGTTCTTTACCTGTATTACAGCAGAATTTCAGCTGCATTTGAAGTAGCTTAATAAATTATTTTAATATCATTAGTACCTAATTAATAAATAAATAAACAATTTATAAAAAAAATATATAATTATTTATACAATAATATGTACAGTGTATTGATGTAATAGGTAATAGTCAAATTATTTAAAGAGTGAAACATTATTTAGCTCAAATAATATCGTTGCAAGCATTGAATGTAAGTTTTATGAATGATTCGTCGGTTTTAACTGATTCTACAGGATCTTTTTTTAAATTTAAAGCCAGCAGCTTATTGATCAACCTTCACAGTTTACATGTTTTTCTAAAAAAATATTTATTTTAATATATTACTATAACATGTTAAGTCCTACTCGCAATTCTTAATTCTAGCGTTACTGTACTTGTGAGGTAAGAGTTTTTCCAGACATAATCTAAAAAACTCAATAAAATATATTTTTTTATTTCTTTCACTTTTGCTGAACCTTAAACAAAACCATCCCTTTAACTGTGTGAATCAGGTTAACTTTGTATGTAAATTAATGGCAAAATAAAATACACTTACCATAAAATTGTATACTCCAATATAAAATTACACAAACAACTGTTTATAGAATATAAATAACTTCTAAATATAAAAACAGGACAAAAAACAGCAAAAAATTCAACAAACTGACAGGTACAAGTAAACAAATCAGAAACGTTAAAAATTTTCTTTAAAATATGAAAACATCTCCATTTTTTTTTGTTTGTACCTATCTATTCGAGTTGAAAGCATTCGTAAAAATAACATGTGTCTTTACTTAATATCAGGCGGAACCTGATTTGTCTTTATTTTCATGTGTGGAAGACCATGATGGCATCTGTTTTATCTCGCCAGCTATTGATGATGCCTAGGTAAAGAACCATGGACTCAACTATATATGTGACCATTCAAGTATTAAGCAATTTATGGGGAAGAGAGTCTTGTAAAATGTTTGGGTGCATTATAGGGGCGGGAGGTGGGTTTGAAACGATGCCTTACATAACATTGTTTTTTTACTTATGGAATTAAACATTTAATTGAAATTGGTAAGCAGTATTCATTATAATGTATAATAATTTATTTATTAAGTAAACTAAACGCCTTTGCTGACTATCAACACATATCCTAATGTTTCTATAAGAATATACATTTCAAAAATGAGTTACCTAAAAATTGATGTTTAGCTTTTTGAACTTCCACAGTAAATATATTATGTTTTAAAAAACAAACAACTTTGCACTTATTTTAAATGGTTTGTTTATTTTGTACAAGTATCTTTAAAGTTGTTTAAAGGTTTTGTGTCAGCAGTTAGCATCTTAAATAAATGATTTTTGGTAAAATAAACATTTTACAAAAAATTTAGTTTATCAGAGGCTTTGTCAATTTAATGTTCTATGTGATTAGTGGTACAGAATAGTTTGTCAGCTTACTGTACAGTTAAAAGAACATTATGATTGCCAAAAGAGATAAAACATCCTATATGGATGTTATATAAAAGAACATACATGTTTTCTTTGAGTTTGTAGGTAACCTTGATGTCCTTTTATGCATGTACTATCCCATTAGTAGCACATAATACAATATCAACAAAGAATGACTTTTATAACAATAAAAAAAACTGTCATCTAACACTAATAAGTTAAGTGTCTCACATTCTTATTTATTAACACCAGCATTTAAAAATTGTATTTTACTTTTATGTATCCTTTGGAGGGGGAATGATTAATGTTTTTAATGATATTCTGAAATATTCTTTTAATTCTAAGCTAAGCATGGAACAAGTGCTATAACTAAAGAAATATATACATACTGCATTTTTTCACGTTCTTCCTCTTCAAGTTCCTTTTTAGATTTGATTTCCTTTTTTGGTTTAGGAGAATTTAGAATTTGACTCTGTGATATTTGAGGTAATATAATATCTGTGTCCAAATCAAGAATGTCCTCTTGCTTGATTTCTACATTAGATTCGCCAGTTAAGCCAAAGCTGTCGTCCTTTAAATTTTCTTCTAGAGCTAAACCGATGTCTCGAGAATCATCTTCTTCCATGACATCCTCGTCAGAATTTGTACCATTCATATCAAAGTGATCTTCAATACATTCGTTTTTTATAAGCATATTGTTCATTTTGAGATTTGGGTTAACTAATATATGAATATTTCCTAAAAATTATGTTCAATATATTTTTATTGTTTCTTCTAAAAAAAAGTCAACTACAAAAATCGACAAATTCTTGATTTTGTTATTTACTCACTTTACTTTACTGATTGTTTATTTAGTAAAGATAAATAAATTTACAGTTTCAGCCTGTCACTGCAGATGTCAGTGTCAACTCTTTGACAAGATTGATGGTTTTCTTCTTTCTATCCAGTCAATGACCTCCCGGAACAGCAGTCCCTCAAATTAAGTGATTTTCGGGTACAAACAGTAAAACGCAAATTATAAATAGTGAAATATTTTATTTAAAAAAACTTAAGGAAGATGAAAATAGATATTTCGTCTTGTAAAATTCAATTTTTAATTTAATCCTTTCATCTGTAATTGGAACTATGATTGGAACTATGGTTGCAGTACCACTTTACAGTTTTTTTGTAAAATGGCTAATTTTTGTATAATTAGCCAGATACTTTACTGTTTAATACCCTAAAGATGTATGTACACCCTTTACACAACATATATTTCACTTAAATTACACAAAGAAAAGTATTATATATACAAATAATTTTATTTCAGATGTTTAGAGAAAGACATAGCTTTTCCACAAAAAATCAACAACTTTTGAAATTGTGATTTTAAAGTACAAAAACTATAAATAATCACGTCAAATGCTACCTATCTTGTGGATTCATTTAGAAGATTGGGGTGACTAATGTATATGTATATAACAACAATGTGTATATAATAATAATCTATTATAATATTATTATATTGTATGTATATAATATAATATACAATAATATGTAGATGTAGATATCTCTATGTAGATGTGTAATCTTGATTGCCTAATAGTAAACCGTAAAAATAGTAGTTGGATGTTTTTTTTTTGTTTTGTTATTAACAAATATGTTGTTATTATATATTATTAATAAAGTTACATATTAGAGAAGTTCAAAATAAAATGTTCCCAAAGTACAGGTATAATATTATCTTAATTAAATTACAAACTATTAAATTAAAAAAGTTTAATGACAGTGACATAAGTGACAATCTGACAGCTATAATCTGGCAACGCCGTTCCGTTAGTTGATATTAATGTCATTTTTCAGTCGATATTCTGAAAATTTTAGAATATAAAATAATTTAATAATGATATATCTTAATTTTCTTTAAAATAACTGAAAGTGCTGCTCAATTCGTTTTCAATATTGTTGTGGTATCGCTTACTTAGAGGTGATATTAAAACGGTACCGGTTTAGCTTTTTTGCATTCTAAACAAAGTGTACTACTTTCTTGTGTATCTTTTTGTGATAAGATTAAATAGACAATGCAGTAGTGCTGTTATAAACCAGATTGTATTTAAAGCCGGTAAGTAATAGTCCAATTGCGTCCTCTTTCATCATCCACTATCTTTTGGTTCAATAATCAACACAGGGCTTCCCTAATGTTTTCATTTTTTAGACTTTAAGGTGCTCCAATCTCAGTTTATTAAGACCTTAACTACATTGCTATACCAAGTTAATCATATCTCTACTTATACTACCATATATCCTTAGTCCACTGTCCAGATGCTATTATTGCTATGTGCTTTGTCTACTTCTAGTATAACATTATTATTTTTTCCATTACATTCATCAGTTAGTTCTCTTCCTTACATATTTGTTAAGACTTACTTATAAAATCATATTTCTATTCTTCTTTTCTTACCACCCTTAATTTTTTATTGAAGATTTTTAAGCTGATGTTTGCCCAATTAGCCAATGCTATAGGATATTTTTTTCATTTCTGAAAATTAGTATGAAGGGATTTTATTTGTTTGTAAAATTAGGGGTATTTGTGTAGATGTTAAAATAAATCACATTGTGGTTTTAGTGTTTTGTAAGAATATTACTTGTTTATAAAAAGATGATAGTTTCATGTTCTTTTCTCATAAATGATACTTATTTTAAAACTATATTCTTAGTAGTAGGTGTAATTAAGAAAATGAGTCGATAGTACCAACAGAAGGCAGAATAAATAACAAGCTAGATGAAATAAATATAGATCACATATGCTTTAAATAAACAAAGGAATTAAACAGGGCAAAGATCATAGTTGACTCATAATTAATATAGTCATGGATAAAATATTCAGAAATAAAATAAGAACAAAAATACCACAGATTACAGTAGAATAAAAAACTTCATACTGATCAAAATTCAACTACAGTTAAATGATGGCTTATTATTAGAACTAAAAAGTATGAGGCCTCATTATATATAAACTAGATAAAATGAAAAATATAGGACTGAAAAGGCATAAATCTTCCAGGGGGTTAAAAATTGACAAAACATACTATGTACCTAGTAATGAAACATAATGAACATAATAAAAAATGGAATAGAAATAAATTAGTGGCAAGAAACCAATTATCCAACCTTAAAATCACAATGAGAAGGACAGAGAAGTATAAAAGTGCATAAGACTGTGAAAATAAAGTAAATATTTGAGAAGAATTTGTGGAAAACTAAAGTCTATTAGAATATAAAACAAACAATGAGGAAACCTCTTGAATTATACATATAAGTGACATGCACAGATTTAGTGATAATAGAAGTGGGAGGTTCCAGCAACAGGTTACCAATTGTCTATAAAACTTTTGTGAAATAAAAAAAAAGACATTGTTTCCATTTCTCAATAAACACATCTAAAATTGTATACTCTTTTAATCTCAGATCTCTTCTTGAACACCCATCATTTATTTCATCTTCTTTCTATCATAATACTCACAACAACCAGTTACAGAATTACTATAGGATGTAAGAAAAAAGACCCTACACCCTAGCACCAGAATATATGTATATATATATATATATATATATATATATATATATATATATATATACATATATGTATATATATTATATAGTATGGTATACAATAATTAAATATTGGAGAAATCTGCAAGAAAGACTCTAATGAGTATCAAATGTTTCGCCGAACGTTTTTGCCAAAGAGAATTAATTTGGCTTCTTCAGGGCTGAAAGAGAATAAATCATAATTAGCTACCATATATTATCTATTAAAAAACAATATTGATCTTACCGTAACTTAGAATTGTAGAGTTAGAATGTTAAAAAACTTAGCTATACCCTGGCCGTGTAAAACATCGAATCCAAGGTTGCATGATGTCTGAATGCAAGCATCAACAGTCTGTCAAAACTAGATCTTCTGAGAAACTGTTTACACCGTCATTATATTATTTATCTATGGTCATTATTAATTTGTGTTTCACTTTTGCTGATGAATTTCGTTGGTAGTGTTAAAAATTGTTTGTAGAGTTCACACGTACGTTTATTAATTTGTATTTGTATTTTTTGTATTCTTGTGAATAAAGATATCCTATTCTATTCAAACGAATCGCATTCCATCAAATTTATAAAACGAATTTATCTCTTAATTTTATTTAAAATTTACTTTTGACATATTTATACACGCAAAAGCCAATACAATGTTTAAATTTAATGTAAATCAATAGCCTGTAAAAAACGATATAAATAATATTATAGCTTGAGTATTAGTTCGTTTTTGTTGAGCAGTGTAAACGTGGGAAAAGTGATAACATAGAGAGAGGAATATTTAAGAGTGTGTGCCATTCACGTGATCATTCCATCTTTTCAGCAGCTCAACTATAGTAACAATATAGTGTTTTTTTTGTTACAGTGTGTAAAAAAAGTTTTTTTTTTTAACATTCGAAATGTATGGTAGCTTTGAACTTAAAATGCAAAGGATTACCCAAGGTTAATCGAAAAACCCAATGTAACTACATTTAAAAGGAAGTAATTCTTTGAATTGTTGGCAATAACTAAATTTTTGATTGTTAGAAAGTTTAAATGTGAGGTTCTGTTTTATCAGAACGCATGTGCTGACAATGCAAGTAGTTCTTTTGAATCTTTATGTCATTAAGGTTCATTGGTAAAACTGAATGAAGTTAAATCTCAGTTTAGGGAAATATTATTTTAGATTTTCATAATTGAAATTTTTTTTAAATTATATTATATTGTTCATGTATTATTATAATAATATCTTATTGAGGTGTATCTAAGAAAAGCAAGGGAATGTTATCTTTTTTAGTTGAAAATTAATGTAAATTATTATTAAATTAGGTTAGTTGTTAATGGGTATATCAGTCAAGTTAATTATCTGACTTTTTAGTTGTCAGTTCCTGTAAGTGTTCCTCTACAAGTTCATTCACATCTCTTTCTTCTACCTCCAGACCCATGGATTTTCTAAGAGAAACAATCTCATCTACTACTGACACTTTGGGTTCCAGTTCTTCGCAGGCACTCTCATCTACAGCCTCAAGCCATAGCTTCTTCCATGCAGAGGTTAAGGTCCTTGTTGTAACACCTAGCTAGACCTGCTCAATAATTGTTAGACATATTACTAAGTTAAAGTGGTCCTTCCAGAACTCTCAAAGGGTAAGGTTTGTTTTCTCTGTCATCTCAAAGCAGTGCCAAAAAATGTGCTTGGTATACAACTTCTTAAAATTAGAAATTATTGCAGATCCATGGGCTGAAAGATAGGGAGTGGTGTTGGCTGGTAGGTAGAGAATCGTTATAAACTTGAACTCTTGGAGTAACTCATCTTCAAGATTTGGTGGATGATAAGGGGCATTATCCAGGACAAGAAGGATTTGCATGGGTAGGTTGTTTTGGTGTAGATATTTTTTAACAGAAGGGGCAAACATCAGGTTTATCCACTAGACAAAGAATTTACTGGTGACCCACGCCTTTGGATTTGCCTTCCACACAACTAGCAGTTTTTCTTTTAAAATCTTATATGACTTAAAGACTCCTGAATTTTCTGAATGGACACTAGAAGAGGTTTGATTTTACATTCGCCACTCGCATTGGCGCAAAGTAGTAGAGTTAATCTATCTTCCATAGGTTTGTGAGCTGGCATCATCTTCTATGTTATGTAAGTCCTATTCAGCATCTTTTTCCAGTAAAGCCCTGTCCCGTCACAGTTGAAGACTTGCTGAGGGATGTACATTTTGGCTTCTATCAGTTTGGAAAACATTTTGATGTAAACCTCAGCTGCTTTCACATTCAAATTTGCTGCCTCACCATGCCTGACGACGGAATGAATGACGGTTCTTCTTTTAAAGTTGTCAAACCAGCCCCGACTGCTTTAA